GAAGCGCACACAATTAAATATGAAAGAGGCAATGAATACACCTGACCTAGGGAATGAGATATTTATTGAAATTGCACAGCATTAATTATGAAAAGTACAATGAAAGCATCCAATATTCCTAATGAAATATTCAATGAAAGCGCACACCATTAAATATGAAAGAGGCAATGAATACACCTGACCTAGGGAATGAGATATTTATTGAAATTGCACAACATTAATTATGAAAAGTACAATGAAAGCATCCAATATTCCTAATGAAATATTCAATGAAAGCGCACACCATTAAATATGAAAGAGGCAATGAATACACCTGACCTAGGGAATGAGATATTTATTGAAATTGCACAACATTAATTATGAAAAGTACAATGAAAGCATCCAATATTCCTAATGAAATATTCAATGAAAGCGCACACCATTAGATATGATAGAGGCATTGAATACACCTAACATAGTGAATGAAATATTTATTGAAATCACACAGGATTAATTATGAAAAAAGCAATGAAAGCGCCCAAAATTCCTAATGAAATATTCAATGAAAGTGCACACCATTAATTATGAAAAAGGCAATGAATACACCTAACCCAGTGAATGAAATACCTATTGAAAGCGCACAGGTTTAATTATGAAAAGCACTCTGTGGCCTTGCCTATATCTTATGAAAAGAACATTGCCTTTATGAGAAAGAAAGACACAGGACACACCTATGAAAGGCCTTTCATACAACTTGTGGACTTATACACACAGCTCTACAGGCAAGTGCCTTAGTTTTATGATAAAGGTGGTAGCCACTTGTGCATTTTCACCAATTTTTTCTTATCCCATCAAGGCGCGATGCAACCCATCAGCGTCCCCCAGCAGATTTCTCCCTTTGTTTTCACCAACACCCCGCTTCGTCCTCTTTTCACCAACATTTGTTTTTTAGCATTTATTTTATACCATCCAGGCGCGATGCAACCCATCAGCGTCCCCCAGAAGATTTCCCCGCTTTGTCCACAATCTTCTTATAGCATCCAGCGGCGATGCAACGATCAGTGTCGCCCAGCAGCTTTCCCCCAATGTATTCACCAACACCCTGCTTTGTCCACAATTTTTTTATAGCATCCAGCGGCGATGCAACGATCAGCGTCGCCCAGCAGCTTTCCCCCGTCGTATTCACCAACACCCCGCTTCTCCATGTGATATCAAACATCACTCTCAATTTCTGCTCGAAACCCCCCTCAGTGTCTCTACCAGCAGCTTTCCCCCATCGTTTTTACCAACACCCTGCTTCTCTCTGCCATTTTGTACGCACTCAACTACGGCCTTACTAACAGATTTGTTGACATTTTTCATACAGGCGTGGACCTGGGTCTGATAATGCGAATTCCAAAAGATTTCGCCAATCCTTTGGCGGGCCCACCTCCCGTTTCCACTTATCGACGACGACCTTGTGAGGCCGAGTATTTTGGCCCGCCGCTTTGTTTATGTGTTCCTCCTCGGCCCCATCCCCACTTCTTCATCGCATCAGTTGCTTACGTGAGTCAGTCTTTTGCCAGCACTCTGTCGTTTCCACATTTCTTCTTCATTAGCAACCACCATCTCTTGAAATACCCTTCAACCTCAATACACATCAACCTTACCTACCTGTCAAACATGAGCCGTCGTCTTCGCTCTGCAGTACGTGATTCCTTTCAATATACTTTTTGCATCGTTCTAATGCCTGGCCAGCAGACCATTTCCACCAAGGAGAATGTCCCCGACCTCGCACCACCTAAACAGGGACGGCGTGCTTCCGTCCATGCATCTTCCACCCCCGACTTTCAAGTTGCCGAGCCAGTCGCACCTTTCACTCAGGCCAACGACACCGGCAATCAAGAAGATGGGCAAACCCAAGTTAAGTATGGGCCGCCTAAGAAGAAGACGGCTATCAATGCCCCTGCCAACGATGCCGCCACCCAAGAAGTGGGGAAAACCCAAGTGAAGTCTGGGCCTCCCAAGAAGAAGACTGTTGCTGCCATAGAGGGACAACGGTGCCCTTCAAATGCTCAGGTCTTCGATGGTGTGCACATCCAAGCTAGGGTGCAGCTTTCTAGGTGAGTTGTTTGTTCAATCCCTTTCATTCCCTCCACATCGAGCCGACTTAGGTCGCTCGCATGCTGCTTGACTTGATGTCAGCGGCAATTGGTTCAACCAGACTTGAGTCGGTTGCCGCGCGTTCATTGCTCATTGCTTGCAATCGCAATGTACTTACTGCTTTGCCAATAGGAATGTTGCCACTGAAGTGGCTGTTCGACCTGCCAACGACCCAGCTTCTGAGGCTGCAGGCCATCCAGATGCTGTTCGCTCCGGCGTTGTTGGGTAAGCTTCTGTTCTTTTTTTAACCTTCACTTCTTCTTCTTTTTGTGGGCTGGTTTGGATGGAGTGTCATTCGCCGCTTGCGTTGCTCTGGTTTTACTGTGCGACCTCGGGGGAGTGGCTTCCATCCTTCGAGCTGGCTTAGGTCGCTCGCATGCTGCTTGACTTTATGCCAGCAGCAAATTTCTTCAACCAGACTTTAGTCGGTTGCTTTTGCTTTTATTTCTCCTGTCTGACAACCGTACTCTGCAGGCCAGGGCATGTTCCACACAAGTCCAAACCTGCTCCTGTGCTCAGAACGTATGGCCGTAAAGCCTCGTCTGCTCAACCTACGGCCCCTGCTGCCATCGCCATGAAGTTCGTCATCTTACCTGCGTCCAAACACACATGTTGAAACTCACACGTCTTTGTTTTTAGTGCGGACAACAGCGACCACACACTATCGGACTTAACCCCGACGCGTTCGGACGAGGACGACATCATGCTGCCTGACCAGCCAGAAGGGGCCAATAGTTATTCAAGCTTCGACGTCAACAATCTACCTTCAACCGGAAGGGAACTCACCAGCATCCGTGATGAAGACTTTCATCCAAGGTCATTGACAATCCACGACCTCGACTACGACGAGGTCCAGGAAATGCGAGAGGCATGCGAGTCCAAACACACAGCATATTGCTTCAGCTACGCCGACAAGACCACCCAGTACTACCATGGCCGCGAGATAACAGAAGGCTGCCAGACTGCAGCCGACTGGTTCACTAAATATTTGGACGACAACACCAAGCAGTGGCTCCCAATCCCGCAGGGATTTACAGCCCCTCACTTGCCTGAGATCTACGTGGACGCCCTCAACATTTTGAGGGAAGAAGACGAACTGCACGTCAACTCGTACGTCATCGAGGCGGCAATGGCACTCGACAAGACTCGCAACTCTGGAGAGGACCCTTTCGAGATCCTCTCCCTGGAGGACGACCTTACATGGGACGATAAGAACAGCATGTGATCGCTTCTCTGCTCGGAGGCGGTCACTTATCGTTTCACCCAGCCTTGGGATGGCGGGCACCACCACTATCAAGGGTCTTTGCCCCAACGCGGGGAGCAGGATGCCGCGGATCGATTGATCCAGGTCTTTTTGGAGGATTTGGAGGAGTACGTCCCCATTCCTGAGGGGTACACTGCTCCTCGGGAACCTTATGACCACATCGACGCCCTGAACTGGGAGAAGATCGCCCACGAGAGAGCTCAATGCCGCCAAATCTTGGCTTCGCAGGGAGTCCCTGAAAGCGACATAAGTGGCTTGTATTGGGAACTTGCTCAGCAGGAGTTGAGGCGAGGTCGTGCCAGGTGAAAGGAACGAGGGGAAGAAGTCACCGATACAGAGGATGAAGATGCCGAAATGGAGGAGGACACCTGTAAATTCGGCTGCAGAATTCCTTGCCGAGCTGGGTATGACGTTGCCAGCGGAGAATGCGGTTCTCAAGGCCTTGTCGACGAAAAAGGTCACCAATTTCGAGCAATCGTGCTACTCGTTGTTTGGCGAGTATGTCTGCCGGATGGCGGCCGAGTTGGGCACACAATTTGGACAGCGCTCGGACTTTGTCTTGGAGCATGCTGACCTTCTTTTGAAGGAGAAACGAGGGCCCAACAGGGCAAACAAGTTCCGATCCTATATCAGCCGGACTCGCAAGGATGACATGCAGGGCAGTAAGTGGCCCTGTTTTTTTCAATTGACAAACAGAGTTCTAATAGCATTCTGGGCAGTGACCAAGGAAGAAAAGGCCAAGTTCATGGACAAGTGTTATACTGACTACATGCAGGGCACTACCACCAGCGAGGAAAGGGAAGAACGCATGCAAGAGGTTTATGAGCACCTTCAAGACGAAATCGTGGACGGCGGATCGTCGATCGTAGCACCGGAGGTTCGCTTTGAACGCTGGCGCGCGATGATCGAGTGTTTGGTAAGTTATTCTTTTTTTAAATTCACATAAAGCTTTTCATATTGTGTTTTTCTAGCTAAACATCATTCGGCGCACTGACCCCGAGTTCGATATTGCGGGCTTTATCATCTATTCAGGAGACAAGCCATCCGTGCATCAAAAGGACGGCCTTTTCGTCAACTCATCGTTTTTGAAGGATCTCTTCGACCGCGAAAATTATCCAATTAGGAAGTGGACTGATGTCTTTGCCACTACTGTTCGGTGGGTCACACATTAAACTCTTTTCGCGTTTTTATTATTAACTTGGCACGGCAGAGCTGCACGATATCAACAGGAATTAAGGCAAGATTTACAGATTGACGACAACCGTGAAAGAAGCAAAGAGGTACCTGTTCCAGGCAAGAGCGGCAGAAAGACTTCGGCCACAAGTTCGCCTTCCGAAAGGTTCGCACCCTCGAAGGAAAGCCAGAAAGACTTCAAGCAGATATTTAGGACCAAATGGCGTATGTCGCGGACATGAACTATGGTCACATTTTACTTATTTACATCTAGACGAGGCCGTTCCGCACCCGAAGAGTACAAGAACCATGATGCCGTTGACAACATTCGTGAACTACGTGGAGACGGAGAAAGTTGCACTCACTGGGTGGCCTTCGAACGAGGTCGACACTCCCTTGGGCCCAAATTTTATATCAAACAGGCTATCTCAGAAACAATGGGCATTGCTCGCCAATTTGTTGGACTCAGGGAAGATGAAGATCACTCCTTGGGATCAAAGTAAGTCCTGTCCATGGTTTAATGGCCCATCATGATCATGATTTTAATAGAATTGCTTCAAATATTGGAGAATAGTGCCCAGTATGGCGAAATCCCCCTTGTCTCCAGTTTCAATGGCAAGGCAATGGTTTTTGTGAAGGACTCGCAACAGTGGATCAACCAATTCTGCAAGATTCAAGGGGATGGGAGGAGAACAGTGGGGAAAAGGCCACATGTTGAGGAAGAGGGAGAAGAAGATACTCATGATCTTCAAGTTCCATCGTCCCACCCATCTTCCCCGCCTTTGAAAAAGAGAAAGGTCAGCTTTGTCACTCTTCCCAAGGCCAGTTTCTACAACAACCATCGCGGCGCTCCGAAATCCTACAAGGTCGATCCTTGTTTCGTTAACTCCACATCCAGGTCTTCAACCTTGAAACCAACTGCTCAAGTCACTAAGGATACTGAAGCATTTTTCCACGCCATTAAGGGTTCTTCCACCTCCTCATCTGCAAAGCGTGCGTGATGATGTATGTTTGACTTTACAATCATTTTATTATTGCTTATATTGAATGTCTACCAGCAACTTAGCATTATCCCCATTTAACTAACTTGGCATTGTCTTTGTCTCTCCTTACCAGCTTTCCCTTTGCTTTACAATCATTTTATATCTTGGTCTAACTAACTTGGCATTATTTGGTTCTCCCCTTACCAGCTGTCCCTTTACTTTACAACAGTTTTATCTTGCTTACCCTCCAATGTTTACAAGTTCAAAGATCTTTGACTGGATAAGAAATCTTCTTGTACTGACAAGAAATGTTTGGGAAATATTTCTTATTGTATTTGGAAATGTTTACAAGTTCAAAGATCTTTGACTGGATAGGAAATCTTCTTCAAAATGTTTGTACTGATAAGAAATCTTTGTGAGATATTTCTTATCATATTTGGAAATGTTTGGCTTGTGAAGAATTCTTTTGAATAAATATTTGCCTGGAGCAAGAAATGTTTGGCAAACTAAGAAATCTTTATGATATTTTTTGGATATTTTTGAAAAGTTAAGAAAGGTTTGGCTTGCAAGGAATTCTTTTGAATAAATGTTTGCCTGGAGCAAGAAATGTTTTGCAAACTAAGAGAAATGTTTGAGTTCTGAAGAAATATTGGTGAGAAAAAGTAAGGCAGCACTCCATATTTATTCTTCAGCAGAAAAGAATCCTTGGTTGTAAAAGTGGGTTGGGTGTGATGTTTGATATCACATGTGGGGGTTTGACTGGGGGGGATGCTAAGGTGCACTTGGAGATCTCTGAGCTGAAGTAGAGGCAGAGGTGGGGGGGAGGGTGGTCAAATGGAATATAGAGAGAGACACTGAGCAGAGGATTTGGGGAGAAATTTAGATGGAGTTTTGAATGGTGAACATGGCAGATAGAAGTGGGGTGTTGGTGAAAACAATGGGGGAAAGCTGGTGGGGGGACACTAGCTTAGATAGTGTTTGGAAGTCCGGTCTCGTGACTGGAAAAAGACCGTAACCAGACCGGACCAAGACCGCAAAAGACGGGACCTGCGGTTACGGTCTTTTATTTTTGAAATGTAAAGACCGCAAAAAGACCGGTTAACGTGAACCGGTCTTTTGTAACCCCCAAAATACCCTTTAAAACGCACCCAAGAACGTACGATTTGGTAAAAAACGAGAGAGATATGAATTAAAATGTAAATTACTTTTGGGAATAATAGATGTACCAGACTTATTTTATAGAAGCACCAATTCCTAACGGAATTTAACGTTCTTGGGCTCGTTTTGAAGCTATTAGAGATGTTAATAAATCTACCGATTCATAATTTTAAAATATTGGCCTAAAGACCGGTCATAAACCGGTTAAAACCGATGCAGACTGAAACCAGTCTATAGACCGCAAAAGACCGTGGTCTGTGGTCTTTTTGCAGTCCGGTCTGGTCTTTTGACTTCTGGGGAAAAAGCAGACCGGTTACGGTCACGGTTAACACCCCTGGGCATCAAAAAACCGGACCAAACTGGACTTTCAAACACTAAGCTTAGATGAGTTTTGAATGGTGAACATGGTAGATAGAAGTGGGGTGTTGGTGAAAACAATGGGGGAAAGCTGCTGGGGGATACTAACTTAAATGGGTTTTGAGTAGTGAACATGGCAGATAGAAGTGGGGTGTTGGTGAAAACAATGGGGGAAAGCTGCTGGGGGATGCTAACTTAGATGAGTTCACATTGAGAGTGGACAACTTCCACTGCCAACCCTCCATTTTTCACTTTTCAATTCAACCTCAATAGCTGTTATAGAATAGAGCCATACATGGTTTGAAATGAGCAGAACTTTGGGTTGTGATCTGGATAAGAAAAGAAAAAAGCAATGTGCAAAATTTTGAGAGAACTGCCCCAGAAAAACCAAGTTTTTTATTTGAAACTGGGACCCCAGATACTCCGTGACACTGGTAGGAAATTTTCTAGCCATGTGACAAGGCTAAAAGATTTTTGAGCAGTGTGACATGGCTAGAATATATCCAAGCACTGTCACACCACTGAAAAATTTCTAGTCACTCTGGCACACCTCAAATATTTCTGGCCAGTTTGACTTGGCTCAAACATTTCTTACCAGTCTGACACACTTCAAAAATTTCTGACCACTTTCACTTGACTAGGATATTTTTGAACACAATTTATCTACCCAAATATTTCTGGTCACAATATTAGAGGTCAAACATTTTCTATCAAATCCAATAATATATTTCTTTCCAAAGGCCAAAAAAAAAACGGCCAGAGGATCTATTAGCCTGGATAATTTTTCAAGATTTCCTAGCTAATAGCTTGTTCAAGGTGGGTGACTGAAGTGGATCAATCACCTTTTGCCATGGCAACAATGATGAGGCAACGAGTTATTCTTGTCGACAGATCATTCTGACATGAGGAAACAGGAACAACAACTTCAAATGGTTGCCAAGCAATTAGATGAGCTGGTTCATGTTGGGTTGAACATTACAGTGATCACAAAGACCATTAGATACAGCCTGATCTAGTGAATTAAAGTCTTCATCCAATGTGCATGTCTTAAGGTAGTAGGAATTGTGGTTGGCACATGACTGGGCCACCTCAATATACTCAAAGCCTACTGAATAGTGTTTACAGCTATTTGCATAAATGATGGCAGTAGGGCGAAAATAGAAATACATTATATCTATGACGCACTTAGAGAAATTTGTGTGTTTTGTGGCTGTGTGAGCGTGTCATGCGCCTTGTCCACCTCCGTTCATCCTATGGGAGCTAATGAAGGGGTAAGGGGATTGATGGAGGGAGCAATGGCGGAAGGGGGATGGTGGAGGGGTGAGCTATGGGGAAGGGGCATGACAAAGGGAGGAAGGAGGAGCTCTGGGCTCGCCCTTGCCCATGTCCGTTCACGCTCGTCTTCGTTTGTGGGCGTCGTCAACACGCTCATGCATGGGCGGTGGGCCTCATTCGGGTGAGTGGTG